ACACCACTTTAGGATGAAATATCTAGAAATTGAATAAGCAATTGCAGGGATCAATCCAGCCACATTCCTCTCTGCATCTGCTCTAGAATTACAACCAAATAAACCATTAACTCTGCACTATGAAACGGACAATCCATCTGATCTATACCTCTTAACACTATTAGTTCCCCATCTATCACTATATTACCTTTCTAGACTACTCCAGCTACACTATTACTTCATCATGTTAAATATTCTATTAAAATAGTTCAACAATACAGCCCAATTAAGAAATTAAAATATTATGATAGAAAAGTCCCATTGGAAGCATATCATCCACAATTTGAAATAATTTCTAAAGTGAATGAATGGAATAGTGAACAGCAAGCTATCCATCTGGTTGCACATTTTAAAGGACCAACTTTAACAACTTCAAGTAGCCTTCCTACAAATAGGCCACTTTAGGAAACATATTTCAAAAAGAAGTTTCTAAAGCAAAATTTAGGAAAAAAAATAAGGAGGAAGAATTAGACCTTAGCCGAATTTGCAAAATATGTTGAAAGACTTGCTCACTTATTTTATCCAAATGTTCCATGTGAAATGACGGATTCATTGGCATACCACCACCTCATAGTTGCCAAAGTCAGTGGTTAAATTGGGATTTTGAAATAGGTGGAACTCCCCTTTGTAATCCATTTTGACATTTATAAGTCCAGGAACATTAATGGTATGAATCCTCAAGAGGCAGAACTCTATTAAATCATTGTATCTCAATTTAACTCCTGGCTATTGTGGATGAGGATATATGAATTAGTCTAAAGCAAAATAAGTCCACATCTTAAAGGAAAGCTGTTCTATTGGCACGGAAGCTTTAATCAATTAACACTGAACATATACACTTAAAATATCATCTAGGAATTAAGAAAATATCCGAACAAATGATGCAAAAATATAAATTCTCTCTTTCAGAGGTTTAAAAAACCCTAAAATTATTAATTAGGTATCTGTTTACCGAAAATAAAAGTAGTAAACCACAGAAAAAAAAGGCATTACAATTTCAAATAAAATATTATCAGAAACTGCATACAAAATTCTTTAATTACTCAACTGATTATTCAGGGTGGAAGAAAAATCTCACAACAGAAGATGTTTTAATGGCATTTTAAAAAGAACATATTTCAAACAAACATATTTGGCTACAGACAAAATTCTGTAGGAAATAAAACTTCTCTCAAATAAAAAAAAAAGGAAGCTGTCATAGGTGCGGTAAACATAGACACTCCATTTGAGATTTTCATAAATCATTTGTTAATAATAAACCAAGAAGACAACACCCTAAAGATGGGAATACTCCATCCGCTTCAGCTGCATTATTTAAAGAAACCTGTTGACAAGTCAGTAAGTTCATTGATGGGAAGCTTCGCAGCATGATGATAAACATTTACAGAGCTACCAATGTATGACCTTAGTTTTTTTTAAAAAAAGAGGATGGATTGATGAAAACAACAAGTGGTCATAAAGTTTCAGCAATCACTTTAACCATGGTCAACACCTCTATTCAAAATGATGTATGATTGGTTGAGCATGTTCACACACATTTTTCTTTTATTTATTCCTCTCATTTAAATTATATCGCAATAGTCATTCACTCAGACGATCAGTCTTTCTTCTGTTTGGTAGTGTTCTTGTTTTATTTCAATTTCACACAATGGCTTTTCTCATTCCTTCTTACAAGAAGTCACTACATCTGTCACTCAACATGCTAGATCATCGAATCTCCAGTCATTCCGAAGATAAATTTTCGCTCGAACTCGTGGAATCCGTTATATATTAGTCACCATTACGCAAAAAAGAATAAAATTCCAGATTGTAATACTAGGACATGTGACACATAATTTCATATACAAATTTTAACCAGTTCATCATTTTGCTAAATACATCTAACATAAGTCACATAATAACAAAAACCACAATAAATACGTGGCTTGTTCTTTATAAATTTCATTTTTTAAATTGGTAGATTAGTGAAACAACTGTTATACCATGACAGACTTACAAACCACTATTTAATATAATCTAATAATTTAAAGCATGACGAAGAATAAAAATTAGTTTAAACAACAACAACAACAAAAAGATACTTTATCTCAACAAATATGAATTGCTATTTCCTGGACTTTTTTCAAAGCCCTTTCTTAAAGGAGTGCTTTATAAGCTTAAGTACCCTTCTAGGTGCGCGGTAAGTTCACGCACTTAAAATGCTAAAATCTGGGTTTCGATTTCAGGTGGTGGATAGAGTGCAGTTAGCTTATTTTGCAGGCTTTGTGCTTAACATCATGTGCTTAAAGTATTTTATTAACCTATTCTGTTTTCCATTTCTTCAAATCAAGTTAGATGAGTGGACATATTCGTTTTAGTTATGAATGTACGAGGAAAGTTTATTGGCTATTTTATGACCGAAAAATATATGTGTTTTTATTATTTTGCTCCTTCTTTTAAGTTAAAAACTCCTCAAATTTCTATAATTTACATCAGTTCGAGGATTGTTCACCGTGATATAATAATATCAAGAAATAAAAAACACTCATAAATGAAAAATGAGAACTGTAGTAAAAGTGAGGCTGAAAAAATCTCGAGTGACAAATAAAATTTTTCTAAAAGAGAATAATAAATTTAAATATATAAAATTTTTTAGACATAAACACGAACATCGCCCTCTATCTATATGATATATATCTAATTCGCGCCTTTTTTGTAACTCACCTTTTGATGTTTCTGTAGTGGCTTTTGTAACTAACTTCAGTCTTTGTAACTTAGTTTTCCGTTTCACTGATATTTCAAAGGAAAACTTAGAATAATAGTAAACGACGTCTTTAAATTTCGCTACAACCAACTGTGAACTTTGAAGTTGAAAATGCCCACAAGAGATTATGTGGATGACAAAGGTAATGCGACGAGAAACTTATTCCGAATATTATTGTTAGTAAATGTTAGTGTTACTGGGTTATCTCAGTTTGTAAAGTAGGACAGCAGAACATATTTGTAGTTGTAGGTAAACCTAGTGAAAACAAAGTTGAACTTAAAATAAATGTATTATCACTAATTTAAGTTAGATCTAAGGTTCAAAATGTTAGTTCACAAAAGGAAAACGCCTGATGTTAAAATTACTGTTCTTGTTAAGTAATCAAGTGATAGCCAGTAATTTGTAATGTTTAGTCATTCAATATTTAAAAACTAAAATTGTAAAGTATTTTTATTTTAGAAAAAATCAAGACATTTCTAGCAGAGTTTTATACAGAAGGAGAAAAGGGAAAAAAAGACTTTAAGTATGGAAGACAGTTGGTAAGTTTTTTACTGACCAAGTTAGTGTAACTGATTCTGTTAGTGCAGAAATCACGTCTGCTGTTATATTGTGGCATTGCGATGTCCACGTAGAAGGTATTTTTAAATGTAACTAAGTCATTGGGTGTGAATTTTGTACTATACAGTAGTGGAGATTAGGTTTATGGTTAGGTTAGTGTGAGATTGTATGCTTTTAATGTAATATTTGATTTGAGATTGTTTCTAAACAAGACAAAACTATGCGAAAACAGTTTGTATTTTTATTTTCAATTGAAATTATCATTCCACAAACATTTGTGTTTCATCTACATCATGAGTATTTAAAATCCTAAGTGAAATTGAAAGGCTACATGGCATAGAATATTCTGTCGAATAATGCTTTTTGAATTTTATATGCTGGTGTGGTTCTAAGGACATAAAATACAAGTTTTTAAAAATAATTTTAAGGTTTGGAAGTTGATTTCTTGTTTAAAAATTTGTGTAAGTAAAGTGTGGAAAACAAAATGAACCATGTTAAATACTGTTCTACATAATATATTATTATCTTTTTAAAAGTTATAAGATATACAGATATTCAGTTTTGTTTCATATGAATATGTAGAATTGTTTAAAAATTGGGTGTAGTTTTGATTGACATAAACATGTATTAAAACTAGACCTAGAATGTTGAAAGATTTTTATTTTATTTTTAATTGTACATATATGTGTGTGTGTTAGAAAAATCTTTGGTAGGTAGAAACAAGAGATAATTAGGATTCATAGTGAGTTAATTAAATGGTTAGTATTTTAGTATTCAGTTACTGTGTAGGCATGGTGTTCTAATCAGCAAGTATCTAGTTCAAAAGATTAATGTACATATTTTATGACATAACAAAAACCTTAAAGTATTATCTGTAACTTAAGTTAGATGTAAGATTCAAAATATAACTAATATTCATTGTTGCTAACTGCTCTTTTTTGAAAATGTATTATGGTATACCCTTGAATATTGCTTGAAAATTGTGTGTTGTGTTTGAAATGGAATGCAATCTTAAACTTGAAATAACTGTAGCAGAAGAAATTGTTAAAGCAAAGTGTTATATCTCAGTGTAGTAAGAGAGAAAGGAATGGATTTTCTGTTTAAAGGTGTAATATATATTAAGATACTTAAAATTATCATCATACATGCAATAACAATGTACGAAACACTGATGCACAGGGTTCCATGAAACTGTCAAAAGTTAAATTTCAAATTTCGTCTGTGAAATAGGTATATCATAGTTTACTTGTTAGACCTGCAAGTATAGTGTAAGATATATTTTCTTTGTTTTAATTTCAAGCTAAAATAGGCCTAGTAGAATTATTATAGCATAATATTATGGACACAAAAAGAATCATTCAGTCTGTAAAGACGTTCATGTGCATCTGCCACTGAGAAAAGGTAAACATTCAAATGCACCCTTTGTTTTTAACTTAATTTCTTGTAAACTGCTGGTCTACACTATGGTCAGTTGTAACTTGGCTATGATATATTCATCTTGCTGTCTTAATTGGAGTCTAGTCTGTCTTTTCCAATTCTTAAATTTGTCATGTTTTATTGTCTCCAAGATACAACACTTAATTTATGAGAAACTAAACTTACAATTGATACAAGTCATTCTGTTCTACCTCAACAGCCTCAGTACCAATGGAAATACCTAACAGTTTAATGTCATCAGCAAACTTTTGTAATTTACAAAACATGCCCCTATCAGTATTATGAATATAAATAGAAAACAAAACCCAATCATTGACCCGTGAAGTATATTACTTGTAACAAAGGTCCTATTTAAATATATTGCATTAATAACTGCTTTTTTTTTTTTTTCATTCAGCCACCCTACAATCCAACCCCCTTCAGATACAGTACTTGTTTATCACTCGTAAGGAGAAACTTTAACAGGTGGTTCTGTTTGATTATAGAACCTGCTGTAAGCTGTTTTAATTTATATATATTAAACAAATCATAAAATATATTTTTAAATCACTTATTTTTTTAATTTCTGTAATTTTGATGGTAAGTAAGTGATATGCATTCTCAATGAATACAGTGTCTTCAGCAGCCCTAAAAGTCCTAATATAGTCCAATAGAATACCTAACATTTTACAAATTGCTTAAAAATTAAAAGCTTATATTTCTGGTCTTGGAATGTGCATCTAATGTTGAAAACAACTGGTGGATTCATGATGAGGATTGAGCAGGAAATAATTTAGGTAATATTGGTGTTTTTTTATTATAAAACAACCAGATGGAAGATTAAGACATTATCATTTACATTGTGAGACAGTTGGAAATTAATCTGGTTTTAATAGGCAAGGAAGATTTATATTCTTGATTTAGTGAATATATTTTAATAATCTTGTATTTACTTGCAAGCACTGTATTCTAAAGTACCTTTGAAACATGGATGGTGTTTTTGTTGTCTTTCATTCACCACGGTAAACCTGTACTTATATGGGATTTAAAAAATATATAGCACTGATGTCACTAATTTCTTCTTAATCATTTAGCAGACAAGCTGTTTAACCTTTTCCATACAACCAGGTCAAAGTGCACATTATAATCTAGTGTACATTCATAATTTATTTCAACAACTTTATCATTAACATGTGTGTGAATAAATGTAATATAAAAATAGTTTATAATTAACATTTTTATATTATCCAAGTTTTGACTTCTTAATTTGTAAAAGAAAAAAATTCAAGCTTTAATTTTCTGTGTCATGTGCCTAGTCATAGCTCCAAATTCTTTTTTCAGAATTTTCTAACTTCTAGAATAGTCTGTTGCAGTTTTCAATTAGGAATGCATAATTAAAAACAAGAATCTGAAATTTGAACCCAACTTACTACTTTTTTTATTTGCTCAGATGTCAATATATTTGTCAAACCTACTAGAGAAGCCCTTCCACTCTCAAATTTTAAAATGTAAATATATGGAGTAGAAACTGTTATAATTCATTAATTAATCACTTGATACAAGTCATGAACAGTAACTCATTAATTAGATTTTCAAAGACTATTGATCTTTAGAAATCCAATTTATTGGATTTCTTTCTGAATGAATGCTTAAGCCTACTCCTTATTTAGCATGACTCACATGTGAACTATAAGTATGTGTATTTTTGTAAGTTAGTACAGTATTCATAATATACAACTTTCTAGGCCTAATTCGTCATTGGTTAAATCATTCAGATGCTACAGGATGTGTCAAATGTTAGAAATCAGTTAATAATATATTGGTTTCTTTCATTTTTTAGATCTGAAACAATATGGCACTTGTTAAAGCAAATAATGGTGAACACTTGTAATTGAATTTTGGTAGTAAAACTTCCAGGTGATTGCTACATTTTGAAACACCCTGTGTATAAAATAAGAAAACTTATTAACACTGTTCATAAGAAAAGCCCTGGTGTCAACTATATGGATTTCAAAGACTTGGTTGCTGTGGGTAGTATATATTAACAAGAGAGGAGTAGTTGCAGAAGTATTGTGTGTGTGTGTGTGTGTATGTATAGAGAGATTTGCAGAAAATATGCTGTTGTAACTATTACAAGAGTTCAGAGGATCAGTTGTAACTTCTGTGGATTTTAAAAATATGTCTTTGTTTTAGTTAAATTGTTGGTGTACTGTTTATTCTAATAACATTTTATTTATCTTTGTTTCGTGAAGATTAAGCTAGCTCACAGAGAACAAGTGTCTTTGACCATTGACCTCGATGATGTGAATGATCATGACCCTGAGTTGGCAGATGCCATAACAGAAAATGCTCGGCGATATTCCAGTCTGTTTGCTGATGCAGTATATGATATGCTTCCTGACTATAAAGAAAAAGAGGTAATGTAAATTAATATAATTTCTTTGCTGGTAATTAATATTCGTGGCTTTTGGTTATTTTGTAATTTACTAATACAGAATATAAAATTTCTTAGAGGTTTATGTCTCTGCAACAGAGATGCCATATGTTCTTATTTTGATGGAATTTGGATTTTTAACTGAAATTATGCCATTTAAATTCCTAATTTTATTATGTTTTGTAGATTTAGTATAACAATAACAAGATCTGATAAGTTTGTTAAGGAGGTGAAATGAAGCATTGACACTGTTAAGATCATAGTCATTAAGTTTTTGTATTTCTGAAGCTGAACTGTTTTAACACTGAGTAAAATATTGGCCAACCAGAATGTGTGATAATTATGCTATTCTCAACGGTAGGATGTTGAAGTGAAAGCCATCTTGTCAAGAATGTGTCTAAAATAGCAATGGGCAAAGAATTCCTTATTGGGACACCATTCTCACAAAAAAGAAAACTGAAAATGAATAAACCCAAAAATTTGCTGTTGAAACAATACCCATAGGTATATTTAACCTTTTTGACCTCCACCCCCTTCCAAAGACCAAATATGAGCATATCCCACATTTTTGTATGTATATTTATTTATGGGGCCATATAAAAGTATATTTGTATCGAATCCTATGTACATTAGTCAAAATATGGTTGAGTAATTGACCCAAAACCCCACAATTATGCTTTTTTTTGTGAGCTCTGACCTTCCCATAAAGACTCAAAATGGGCAAATCCAACTTTTTTGTATGTCATTATGTTGTGTACGTGACAATTTGTATTTGTACTGATTTTCATCTTAGTTGCTGTAAATATGACTGCACAGGAGCCCAAAATATACATTTTTGGGTTTTGACCCCATAAAATCCTTAAAAAGGCCTAAAATCAAAAACTGAAAAAGGTGTATTGGACCATGGTATAACTCTGTCGAGAAATGAAGGAATGGCAGTTGATTGAAAAGCATTTGGAAGAAGAAACAATAGAAAAACAGTGTCTCTTTGCGGAGACAATAAAACATAGACACAACTACAGCTGAATAATTAGTGGAATTTTAATAATAATTTAATCATTGAACTTAGTATTCAAGTGCATTCAAATCAGTTATTCTCACACAAACCTTGGTTATTTAAAATAATCAGAAACACTAATTTCTACAAGTTTATTATTTTCGTGACATTGATTCAAACATTATTGAATATTTAACATGACAGTAATTGATGTAATAAATGCTCTTAATTAATTTATCATATTGAGCTAATCACTTAACATTATCCACAATAATTAAAATTGGTATACTAATACAGAACTCTTGCCAAAAAATGTAAGTGAATATGCTGCCAACATGCATTAAATTTTCCAAAATAAGTGAAAATCATGCATTTTGTGTGCTTTACTCCAGATTTCAGCACCACTCAAGGCAGGAAAGTGAATGTAGAAATTATACTGTTCCTTTTTTTTGCTCAGATTTGTGTTTTTTTAGGCTGGCATTCCTAATTAAGGTTAGTATATGTGTAGCAGCTGTTTTTTTTAACGAGTTGTCAACATTTTTAGTACTATTTCTCTTATAAGATTTAGATGTTTAGTTAGCACTATCTTCAATACTATATTAACTCTGCCTCTCAACTGAATTTCTGTCTTGCTTGAAACTGGCAAAATTTGAACTTATGACTATGAGAACCTTTTATTAATACAGAATGTTAATTTTTAAATTACAGCCAATACCCATTAACGTTAGTCAGTAATGAAATCCATGTATAATGAAATGAAAAAGATGTTTATTAGGAAATAAATTTCTCAATTTTATGCTTAAATTTTTTTCACTAACTTGTTGATATATAGGTCATAGCTAAAGACTCACTTGATGTTTACATTGAACATCGAATTCTAATGGAGCAACGGAATCACAAACCTGGAGAGACTCGAGATCCTCGAAACAAATATCCTCCAGAGCTTATCAGGAGATAGTGAGTGTGTGATAGTAAAATGTTTTTTATTTGTATCAGTTAAAAAATAATTCTTATTATCCAAGTAGTAAATTTAACACAGTGATTGCAATTGATGTTGAGATTAGCATAGATACCAAAGAAAAAAAAGTAATAATGTACTCTATAAATGTGTACATAATATTTCAACAAACAGACTCACACTCACACCAGTTACAGAAGAATGTTTATGTTGATGTAGAAATTGTTTTTTAAACTGTTTTTGTTGAGTTTTGTCTTGTGACAAAAACTTGTTATAGTTTTTCTGTAGCATTTGTCAATTGGTAATATGATAACGTTCTTTATATAGTATCTTGCTTGTAAAATTTAACTGTGTATGGGTATAACTAAGTGTACATAAGTGTATGTAATATTATTTCTTTCTAGTGAAGTCTATTTCAAAAGTCCGTCTCAGCAAAAACACCTTTCCATACGTCATGTGAAAGCTCGACACATAGGGAAATTGGTGTTAGTGAAAGGCATTGTTACTAGAGCAACAGAAGTTAAACCAGTGATGTCTGTTGCAACATATACCTGTGACCAATGTGGAGCAGAAACATACCAGCCTGTATGTTTTGGTTGATTATTTTCTACTTTTTGAAAGTTGAACTAGGTTCATTGTTTTGCATTTATACCCACTAATTTGTTGTTGACGTTTTTGAAGTCCATAAGATTAGGTTAGGGTTTATTTAATTTTATATAAACTGTTATGTGTAGTGGGTGTTTTTAGAGCAATATCTATAATTAATAATTCTTGTTGTCTTAATGTATGTTTTTTTGTGTGTATGTGTGAAGTGATTTGTATTTGTTGTTTGAACAGTAACATCTTGGTTATCAAAGTATACTTAACGTCAAGACCTGAAGAATACCCATATAGGTTTAAAGAAGCATAATTTCAACATTAAGAATCTACTATGAACGAATAAAGCCATTTTAGGGTTATCTTGTTTGTTACAAACGTATTTTTAGAGAAGCAGCAGGTATGGAAACAGTATCACGACTGATGATAATTTTAATCTTATTTATAACTGTTTTCTTGTTGACAGCAGTATTTGACAAACATGTTTGAAATATTATTATTATGCACTGTATTTATTGAAACTTTCAGTGAGCCAGTTCAAAATAAGGTGATTGAAATTACTGTAAATTTTTTGGTATTTCACAATACCTGTTACAATAGAAATTAACACACCTCAGCAGTATGGGGGGTTTATATGCATGAAACCTTTTTTTTATTCTCTCCCTAGATAACAGGTCCTTCATTCATGCCACTAATCATGTGCCCTAGCCAGGATTGTAGTGTTAACAAATCAGGAGGGAGACTCTACCTTCAGACTCGAGGTTCAAAGTTTATGAAGTTTCAAGAAGTTAAGATTCAAGAACATGTAAGCATTATTTATTTTGTAGATGATTTGTTTTAACTTCAGAGTGAATTTAAAATTTACTAGATGAATAATTTTTAGACAGGAAGATTTTTGTTTGCAGCATAAATTACACTTTGATGATTATGCATTTTAAGATTATTAATATAAAAATGTTTTTTGCTTTAAATATATTGAAAAGTTTACTGAGAAAATACTTGTGTGTCAATTAGAGCTGGAAAATGAGTGGAATTTCTTAATTGATTAATCACTGAGCTTATTAACCTATTCCATTCAATTAATCAATTATTCCTACATTAGACTTTGATAGTTGGAATAATTGGTAACAGTAATAATCAGAAACACTAATTTTGATTAGTTGACTAGTTTCGTGCCATTAACTCTCTCAACACAGGCTCGGTCAAATTGTTGACTGACCACGTGCCCACTTTGTACTTGTTTAAAGTTGTTATAATTTTGATACTACTAACTTTTAATATAGTATGTATATCTTAACAAAAGTTGACAGAATTTAGGTAAACATTATAAATAAGTCTTTCACATACAGAAAATCAGATTTTTAGTGAAGTATTTTTAATAAACTAAAAAAGATTTGTCTGTGAATATATCAAGTCTTTTTCTTTTACTACTCTGAGTGCAAGGTGATTTTCATGTTAAGATTATAAATATTTTTCTTCATCTCAAAAATCTCAAATTTCATTTGCATAGTGTCTAAAACTTCATAAATACATTTCAAATGTTTGTTTTCAGTAAAGCTTTATATTTTATATGTATTTTCTCTGCCCTAACTCAATACAAGGTTGGTGAATTTAATGGACCTCATAACCACCAAGAAAAATCAAAATAAATCTTAAGTTGATCTTTTTTTCTTTCTAGAATGATTTCAAATTGTAACATGAAATTACATTCGTTTATACTAAATAGTTTTAAACTTGTAACAGTATACATCTATTTATACTTAAATTTTATTGTTTTATTGCTCTTTGAACCATGTGTAACTACTGTTCATGCCATTATAAGTTGTAAATCACATAGGGAACATGGAGCTCATGTTATGCTATCGAATTGCATTACCCACAAGCTATTGCTCGTGTACCTGTGTCTTGAAACATTTTTATTATATTATTATTTATTTTACCTAATTTAACTTTAACTAACCTATTTTTATATTTTGGTTACTTTAATAATAAGTAAAGAATACACATGAAAAACAAATTATGTACTTACCCAGGTCTTTTTTTTTTGCTGTCGACTGTCAATGATACTTAACCCTACTTTTTTTATAGTATTGGTAGTAATGCACTAAATAATTTTCATTTAATTAATGCACCAAAGAACATAGAATAATAACATGCAAAAAGCAGGCAATGTCCCATAACTATCACAGTTTTTCTGGCTTTCTAACTATGCAACAAAAGCTGTTACTAATTCATCCAAGCTAGTTGATATGTTTCCCGTGGGAACGAAGCTTGTACTAAGAGAAATTGACAATTCTCTTTTCAGAAAACAATGTAATATAATACATCATTTGATAGATGAAAACCTTGGCTTTCTATTGGTTATAAATAATATATTATTAGTTATCAGAGAGAACTATTAACAAATTCTGAAAGAGAGGATGTGACGGGTGGTTGTGATAAGAGGGATCTGATTTTCTATTTGATGTCTCTGTTTCCAAACAAGATTGAAGGCTATAAAATTTATGGTTTGACTGAGCAATGATGATTTTATAGTGAGTAATTGTTAAATTTCATACTTATTTATGTGTGGTGAATAAATTAGTAGAGAGGATGCCTAGAGAAAAAATAATGTAACATTCCTCACACTTGGGGAAATTCAGGATTTTATTTTAATATTGCCTTATAAAATTAAGAACTTAAAACTTATATACAATGAAAATATGAATTATTAGCTACGATTTTATGCTATACTAATTTGTATAACATAAAAAAGTAGTTTAATTAAATTTTGAATGTAAGTCATTAAACACCTTGTGACATGCTCAGTAAAAGATACCTGTGCAGAGAGGGTTAATCAGTTTAACAATAACTTGACTGTTTGAATGTTACTTGACACTAATCGTTATAATCACTGCTTGTAAGTAGTATATTATATCATGTTAATTGTCTGTCTCTAGTATTGATAAGGAATACTTTTCTTGTTCAGTTTTTACTAAACTTAGTTCTAATATATATATATATATAGTATTTAATAATGTTTTGTTTGTTAATCAGAGTGACCAGGTTCCAGTGGGCAACATACCTCGTTCAATGACTGTCTATGCTCGTGGTGAGCTGACCCGACAAGTGTTCCCTGGTGACCATGTTAGTATTACTGGTATTTTTCTTCCAATGGTGAAGGCAGGCTTTCGACAACTTTCAGCTGGTCTCTTGTCAGATACTTATTTAGAAGCACATGTAAGTTTTGATGTTTATGATAATTGAAGAGTTGATTTTTTTTAACGGACACACACACACACACACATATATATACGGTGGAATAATTATTAGTCAGTTATATACATGTTTTTTTTCTTTGTTTCTTATTTTCTTCATTTATGCCTTTTAGCATCATGGTATATGCAGATGTCTTTCCAGAGCAAGGTGTAACATTTCATCAGTTTTTAGCCTTGTGTTTTTAGCTGTTTCTTTGACATCATTGATCCATTGCTTTCTTAGACCCCCCCTTTGCATCTGTTTCCTGTTAATTGTAAGTTATATTCTCTTGCTAGTAGTTGTCTTAGGCTCATTTGCACCAAGTGATTGAACTATTTCAATCTCTGCTTTTCTATGTTTTATTACTAGTCTTACTCTGAGCTGCTGTCTGATTGTTTCATTTCTTACTTTGTCTAATCTGGTCTTGTATATTTTGAAAAATTAAAAACAACTTAGAAATTACTTTGTACTCAACAATATTTTTCTTTGAAGTCCTTATGTGGTGTAAAAAAGGGACATTAGATGTGCAAGTTTTCAAATTGTCTCTATTATAACCATTTAATTATTGATTTTTAACATACCTGTGACTGTTTTCAGAGGTTAGTCAAGTGTTCAAAGAGTCTTCATTTTATTGTTAAAAAGTGTTACAATCTCTTATAGAAATTTTCATTCACTTTCCCCCCTCTACAAAGTTCCATGGGTAATAGAAACCAAAGGTTAACATATTGTACCAGTTTTGTCTATATGCATGTGTTGGATATCTTGATAATACAAAATTGACTTAAATTTTAAAATGTTAGCTAAATTTAACATGAGTATTTTAAAGAACATTGTAAAATGATAATAATTCAAATTGATCAAGAAATTGTCTTATATGTGTGGGATTTGTACAGAAAGTGTTACTTTTTATTTTATAGAGAACAATTTGATAATTGTCTTTACAGAGATTAGTGAAGATGAACAAAACTGAAGATGACGAGCTTGGAGGAGAACTTTCTGAAGAAGAAGTCAAACTTCTTGCAGGTAACATTTTTCTTTTAACCCTCTCTCCCCGGGTACACTTTACTGCGCATGACACAAGGTTTTAGTGTCTTACATTCAAAATTTTATTAAACTACTTTTTGTTTATATTGTACCAATTAGAATAGCATAAAATCTTAGTTAATAATCAATAGTTTAATAGTATACAAGTTTTAAGTTCTTAATTCTACAAGGGAATATATAAAAAAAATTCTGAATTTCCACTAGTGTGACACACGTGACACATTTTGTCTTAGCATGTCATCATCCCTATTTTATCCATTACTCCTCGAAAATGTACGAAATTAAATGTAAAATACTCTCTATAAAAATCGTTATTGCTCATACAGACAATAATTTTTATAGCCTTCAATTTTGTTTGGTTACAGAGCTATCAAATAGAAAATCAGACCCCTCCTGCCACACCCACCTGTCACATCCTCTCTTTCTCAATTCGTTGATAGTTATTTCTTATGTTTCAATATAACTTACCTATAACCAATAGAAAGTCAAGGTTTTCATCTATCAAATGATGTATTGTATAACATTGTGTTTTGAACAGATAACCATCAATGACACTCTGAGTAGCAACATCGTTTCCATGAGAAAGTTAACGACCAACTTGGATGAATTTCTAACGGCTCTTGTTGCATAGTTAGAAAGCCAGGAAAATTTTTAGAAGTAAATGAATTTGTCTACTTTTTGCATGTTATTAGTCTA